TACTCTCCAACAGCTCAGCACCCAACTGAGTTCTGAGTTCTTAAAGTGAGATGCAATCTTTTTAACTGGACCTTCTGGGAATTATGAACTGTATCAGATTTTTGTCATCAATCATTTGATTCTGTTTGAATGAAAGATAAGATGTTATAATTTGAACTAATGGAGACTTGTCCTCGCCCAAAACAGGTTTCTTTACAGATTTACAAATAAGGCTGCTTTTGCCCCCTTAATTTGCACAGACTCCATTTCTAAACACTAGAGCAAGTTATGTTGTTTTCTGCAAGTCTGCTGGCAGAAATCTTTCTATATAAGCACTCTAGGTTATGCTTACTTCCTTAAATTTTCAGGATAAATAGATGAGCTTGTTCCTCTTCAGTTATGAAGCTGATTTTTTTGAGACGCAAAATCAGCAAGCCTTGGAAGCTCTTGTGCTCTTCAGTTTCTCAACACACTAGTTGATAATACTGGTGTTTAGACATTGTTATGAACTCTGAGGTGTTTACCTAACAAAGTAAAAAGAATTCCTCACTTACAGAACTTCTCCAGTTTAGTAAGAGGTTCCAGAACTGATGCAGAAGTAGTTGGGCAAAAGTAAACACTTACAACCTGTGCAGGGTATAGAATAATTGCATTTAATGGATCCAGTACCATATATGAAATATAAATACAATAGAAAATTTTGTTTCAAATACTTATAATGAAATGTAAGTATTCTAATCAGTGTCCAGATAACTAAAATGTTCTGCTCTTTCCCCCCCTCATATTTTCGTATTTTTAAAGTTCATTGTAAAGGTTTTGCTGAACATCTGAGTGTCACAGAAATCTTTGAAGTTTGCTGTTCTTACACTAGACAGGTCTTAATTTTCACTTGTTTTTTACTGGTGTCAGTTTCTTAGAGAAATGCTGCTTCTGCTGGAATATATGAAGGGGACAGAAAGCATAGACAGGAACCTGGAATTGAAAGAGATCTTCTGAGCAGCAGGATCTTGTCTCTTGCCATTATATGCAACAGCATTATATTTAGTAAAAGAATGGTGATGCATCATTAATTTTTTTTTTTTAGTTTCTCATTTGTTCATACTGAAAAGCAGTTTCAGACCTTTTGATTAGAAGTGTATTTCTTATTTGTGGAGTAATCTTATACAAGGCTGGTGTATGTTTATTTAAATAAAGCACTTCCTTTCTCTGTCTCCTCTTTCTTCCTCAGTTGTCATGAGTGGGACAAACATCATGAATTTAAGAGAAGATGGAGAGGGAACCAAAGAGGAGCATACCTTGAGGGGACTGGGGGGAAGTCTAGATACAGAGATAAAGAGCTTGAAACTTAGAGCCTTATTGAAAGGGAAATGGTGCAGTGGAAATGCTGGGGGGGAGGTAGCTTATGTCTTAAAGGTGATGCATGTATATGGGAAATAAGAGTGAGAAGAAGGTAAAAAATCAGGGGCAAAGTGAACAGTGTATGAGTAGACAAGAAAAAGTACTCCCTACCTAATACTTTCAAATGTAGTGAAAAAAAATGCCTGTAGTGAAAGTGGTAATGGTTTCATGTACAGAAAAGAAAAATTTTTCCTATTACTGAGACAAATTCTATTTTATTCCTGTTTCATAAAGAAATTATTCTGAAAGTTTGTTTGATTGAGCAGCATGAGGTTAGAAACTAAAGATTGATTCACATCTACTTATACCTGTATATACTTTTCTTCATTTACTTTTAGATTGTTTAGCTTGTGGATTTTTTTCCTCTTTTTCTTTGTTTGTTTTCTGTTCCCCAGAAAACACACATGTGGATATTCAGTTAGAAATGTACATTTTAACTTCCTAGTTGGTGTACACATTGAACACAGTTTTGGTATGAACACTTCAATGAAGACACATGCAGTAGTTATCTTGTTTACGTTGATTGAATGATTGAAATTTTTGTTCTCTAATTCTGTCCTTTTTTTGGTTAAATTCACAGCTGGAGGCTCTTACTACATGATTTCAAGATCTTTAGGGCCAGAGTTTGGTGGAGCAGTGGGACTTTGTTTCTACTTGGGTACAACCTTTGCAGGAGCAATGTACATTCTTGGTACCATTGAAATTTTATTGGTAAGTACTAGTTTCTCTTGAGATTAAATTTATTTGGGCTGGTTTATGGAGATTGCCAAGGAAGGCACTTGGCCTAAAAGGTATTCTAGTTTGGTGATTTTTAATGTTTTGATGCTATATTTCCAGTATGTCAATATTTATTCGTAGTCTACTTGTGACTGTTTGAAAAAGTTCAAAAAATTCTGATCAGCAATACAAAAATAAATCAAAGGCTGTTTGATGTTTGTTCTACTTTAAGTAGGAACCAAACAGAATTCGGTAACTGACACTTACTAATTTGTACCAGATGCAATATATCTGTTGTTAGCTTTTCATAACATGTTCTGAATACCAAATATCCCATAGATTATGCTTGTGATACTGTACACATACAGAGTTGCAAGGAAAACTATAATAATTTTAGTAAGACATACCTAAAATTGTGAAAACTAAAGGTAGAGGACCAAACTGGAGATACAAACTGGAGATAAAAAATAATAGGAAATATTTCAGTAGATTTTTGCAGAGAAGAATATCAGAGCAACAGGTAGGCTTTGGAGACGTTAAGATTTTAATTTGGTGATTTTGTACCCACTTAAAACTACAACTTTTGTATCAAAAATGACAAAAAAACCCATAAGAAATAGTGCAGTCCTTAGTGAAATGTCACGTTAGATTGCAGATTAAATCATAGTCAACAAGACCTATTTTCCACATCCTCTGAAATGTCATTTGGATTTAGGGATGCTAAGTCAGGTATTTTAGTTTTAAAAATAGTTTATTTGCAAATGTGAAGGAATTAATTTATTCTTTAAATGTTTGTTTATATTCATGGTGCACCACAGCAAACTTATGAAAAGTTTGATCCATATAATATGCTGCTCTTTTATTCTGTGTCCTCCTCTCCTTTTCCAAACAAAAATGCGCAGATGCACTTAGCATTTCCTTTAGGTCACCCTAGACTTGGAATTGAAAAGCTAAAGATTCACTCTTGAGAGTCAGTTTATCTTTTTTTTGCTTTGGAATCTCCCTTTACTTCAACTCTGAATGAAGTCTTACTTTGTTTTTATTATTATTTCATCTAACACAAGGTTTTGGTTCCTTTCCTTGTGACTCTCAAGTTTTAACAAGGATGTGGATTTCATGGTATTACCTATCCTTTGTCTTTTCAATGTGTTTTTTTTTCCTTGCTGTAACTTCTCAATATATATCTTGTTTCATTTTTCCCAGGCTATATGCCTTCAAGCCTTGAATCCTTTAGTGAGCTCTTCAGGGGAGCTTCTACTTACTTTGTGCTAGAATTGATTTTCCATTTTACTGTTCTAGTTTTGAGATCATGACTGTAAGATTTTAAATTTGGCAACTGCTTTATAGTAAGCAGTCAACACACCTGGGTGGCTCTACATTTCTGTTAGAAGAGCTGCTTACTCTGGGTAATTATGGCCTAAGTCCTTTTAAGCCATGTTTTCTTAAAGCCTAGGAGGACTCCTCTCCTTCTTCTGAATGGAAGTCTGTAGGCTTGGCATCAGAAAAGCACTTCCAGGATAACTCCCATAAACTTTTCAACTTCTACCGTGCTTGGCACTGCCACGTGCACTGGGGAAAGCTGCTGCCCAATGAAAGACTGTAGCTTTGTCTCATCCAGGAGAGACTAGACAGTTATTGAGCATCATATTGGAGGCTGTGCAGATAGCCCTCACTCACTACAGCTAGCTTGTGAGGTCTGATCAATACTAAAACCTGAGCACCATGTCACATTGCAGAGTGGATTTGGTGCACTGTTCTGCTTGCTCAAGAGTCATGCTGGCTTGATGTCTTGCTAATAAACATTTATGGGCTTCAGCTATGGAATTCCAAGTAAAAAGTCTTTCAGGATGTCATATCTGGCAGAAGACCTCGGAACCAGACCCCTGTCATGGCCACAAGGCACAAGTATTGATTCCTCCCACCCCTTCCCCCTGGATTATTTGGAGGGGCAGAAATCAGTCATCTGCCTGTGGTTTTCCCCAGCAAACGCTGTGAACAGCAGGGCAACAAAGCACACAAAAAACCCCTTCTGGATTACCTCCATACAGAGCCTGATACTTCTGCAACATCACAATGTAGGATTTTCTAGTAATGCTGTGTAAATACTCTGTAATCAGTTTTTTGGTTTGCTGGGGTGTTTTTTTTTTTTTGCTGGTTTTTTTTTGGTTTGCTTTCTTTCACAGTGATGTGAAACTTTCATCTCTTCTAGCATTCTAGTAAATATTAATTTGCTAGATGTAAATTAAATTCATTTAATTATTTTTAAATTAAAAAGAAAATTCTAGTAAATAATTGCCTGTGTCTATTTTTGGATTTTGGTTCTGAGATAGTCCCCTGCTCAAAGTTTCTTACTGCCTTTAGAAGTTAGATTATTTAAGGATAGACAATTTAGCAGTTTTTTTGGAGGACTGGAGTTGCCTCAAGCCCCAGGATTCCCCTAATAGCTAAGCAGATTTTTTTTTTGTAAAGGTGTTAGAAGAAGGAATAAAGATATCTTTGTCGTGTAGTACGTCTCAGAACTATAGGTTAGAGTTTGTCTTTTCACCTATATTTACTGCTAGAAGTCCTATAAGCTGTGCTTCCAAATTCTTTTCAGGTAGAACCCAGAACAAAATTATGTGAAACAGATCTGTAAGACAATCCTGTTCGAAATGACAGGAGTTTCAATTGTCCTTTTAAAACCGGACTAAGCTTTGTCATTCTAATCTTAAATTGTGCTGTCACAACTTCACATTAAAAATTAAGATAAACTCACCATAAGCATCGTACCTTGAAAAGTGTTTTAAGGTATCTTTGTTTGAATTTTATGAAATATAGTCTAGGGACTATAGAACTGGAAACATTTTTGGTTTTTTTATTATGCTTCTGTTTGACTCTTCATATTTTGTTTCAACCAATGGAATTATTAATCAGCAAATGCTTCCAATGAATATAAGGATATGTCTGGTTTGAGCTGAGTGTTTGAGGTTTTGGTTTTTTCTGATAATTTTTGTCACATCCTGCACCCCCAAGGTCCTTTGTGGTTTTTCCTGTCTGGCAGACATGAATTTGAGAGTGGAAACTCTTAAAGGGAAGAGAAGAAGCTGGATCAAAAGCAGTACCTAATTCTCAAAACTTGTTTTTCTTCATCCCTGCCTCCCCTGTGCTTTTGCCCGTATACTTCCTAAAAGCCCTTGTCATATGGTTGACCTCGTTTGTGAAAGAATAAAACTGATATTGTAATAGAATTTTTTTAGGTTTTTAAGTCCATGTAAATGATTTCTTAATAAAATGTTTGTTAATGCATGTATGATAGTTTGCTGTATCTCTTGTAGACCTACATTTCTCCAAGTGCTGCTATATTTAAAGCAGAAGAAGTTGGGGAAGAAACGGAGGCTATGCTGAACAACATGAGAGTTTATGGAACATGTATTATCATTCTGATGGCCATAGTAGTTTTTGTGGGAGTAAAGTACGTCAACAAACTTGCACTGGTCTTCCTTGCTTGTGTGATTCTTTCCATCATTGCCATTTATGCTGGAGTTATTAAGACTGCTTTTGACCCACCTGACTTTCCGTAAGTGCAATATCTTTAAGTAGTGTGGGGTTCTTTAAAAAAAAAAGTGCAGGGAGGGAATAGCTACTGTAGCCATTTCATTTTTTAAGCTAAACTTCAAAAGACAAGCATATTGTCTTCAATGCTAGGTTTTATGTGTTTTAAGCAATGATGTGTTTATTTGTTATTCTGAGTTACCTATCTGATTCTTTCTCTCATTGTTCATACTCTGGAAAATGTTCTCTGGTACTTACAGTTACTGGCCATTATTCCATCCATGTGTTTTTGCTAACAGTAAATACAGCTGCTTTATGTAAATAATTAAACTAAAAACCTCTAGAATAAAGTAAAAAAAATGAGGAAACTTTGTCACTAAGAACCATAGTTATGAAAAAAACATACTTTCAAACTTTCTTTGTCGTGAGGAAATTTTGGAACTTCCATTTCTCCCTACTTAAAATGGAGACTTGCAATGTTCAATTCACTTGTTCGGGAAGACTTTCTACTTTCTTATTAATGAAATCAAATTTTATTATTGTCACCCATGGCATATTGCTTCTCAATGCCTTTAGCTTGTACCTCTCTTAGCTCACTAAGAATTATTTCTTTTGTCCAGTTATCAGTACGTGCATTGCATTTTTGTACATCTTTTCATGTTTGGAGAGAAAGCGCAATGATAACACTTAGGACATTAGCAGAATAGCCTGGTGACTTTTGTTATGAAGTGCTATCTGTTCCATAGGACTGAAGTTAGCCTTTGCTGTATGATTCTTACAGATTCCATAGCACTTTGAAGTGTTGTTGATGGTTGAGTTACAAATTGAGCGTTAAAGCAGTATTTGTGGACTGTACTGTAAAACAATATCAAGTCTTCTATTGAAATAATAAGTGTGGTCAAAAGTAATGGTTTTTTTCTGAAGAAAAATTGAATTTCTAAGAAAGTGTGTCTTCCAGGAGGGAAATACTTAAATCTTTTTAGTTACCTTTATAGGTGAAAGAGGGTTTATCTGGATGTGTAGCATAGGTAAGACTTATTACCAAGTTCTTGGAAACCGTGTCTATGGCTACTACTGTGATATATTATTGGTTTTGGTGGGAAAAAAAAAGAAAGGTATATCTTCCAATAAATATAACTGCTCACATTTTGGACAGTCTTCCTCAATGAGAAACTCAAGTATGGTTTTATATTATTGGTAAAGCTGATCTACTGGTGAGCTGGTCACCACAAACACCAGCTTCCACTTAGCTGGTTAATTAGGTTGGCATCACTAACCTCTGCTAGTTTTGGCCATTGTATAAATGGTTTACCTCATCATCTCCTAGTTGAATCAAACTAAGGGTGTTCATGAGTTGAATCAACTCACCCTGCTGCTGTAGGGTCACCAAACTGATAGCAATTAAAAAGAAAAATGAGGAAGGCAAGTAGCAAGAGGATCTTTTTTAGCAGCAGCTTTTCTGTTTGTCTCAACTTCTATGTGATGCCATACCCTGAAGCTGTACTAGTGTCCTGTACTCTTCATCAGGTATCTGTTCTTCAGTGCTGTCAGAAACAGGATATTGCATTAGGTGACTATTCTGCTTGGCTTAGTATGCTTGTTAGAATGCCAAGTGGTCTGGTTTTACTCTTTGTTATCAGCTTCTTAACTGAGCTCTTTCAGAAGTGTTAGATGTGTACTATGTGTTTTTTGACTTATTTGCCTAACATGGATGTTGTATTTGATGTTCCTTCTTTTGTTTTCATAAATATTATATCTTATTTCATTATTAAGCAAGCCTGGAATAGAGATCTCCTCCTAAACATCTTTTGTGTCTCTTAGCAATGAAATGTTCCTAGATCCTTAGTATTCTTTGCTGTTTGAAATTTTCTTTTTGCAAACTCTTCAGATTTTTCTCATTTTCTTTCATTTCTGAGTGTTTTAATTGCTTCATGCTACATGATTCTTTTAATTTGTACTCCTTTAAATTTTGCTGTTTAGCCCCCCTGGCATATTTCCTACCTTTTTGGATTTTTGAGGGCCATCTAAAATATTTATTTGCTAGAAAAGGGCATGATATACTTGCTTAATCTTACTTTGTATTTTCTTGGTCAGGCTCATTGTTATGTTAAATATATTAAGTATTACTTAATTCACTTCTTTCTTGTAGGACTGCATGAATCACGATCTCCATTATTTGGAGTGGCCAAGCTGTTTGAGTTAATTGTATTTTCCAAAGCATATATCAGAAGGCAAAATAGCTATTAATACCTTAAAGTAGATATGTTATAAAGGTTATTGATGGTAGTTTTATATGCAGAGACTATATCCTGTTCTAGTAGATGTAGTATAGGCCCTAAGATAGGTACTATAAATAACAGGTTGCTGAAGCCTAATGGACAAAAATGGTTTAGTGCACAACTCTATTGAAGGATTACTGGTGTGTGTTTGTTTTATAGTATCTGTCTCCTTGGAAACCGTACCTTGTCAAAACGCAACTTTGATGTCTGTGCCAAATTTACTGAAAGCAATAATGAAACAAAGACTACAACTTTGTGGCGCCTATTCTGTGATAGTTCTTTGCTTAATGCTACATGTGACAACTACTTTAGTCTCAATAATGTAACAGAAATTCAAGGGATTCCAGGAATAATGAGCGGAGTTCTAACTGGTAAGTTGGAAAGCACAATGATTTAAAAATTTTGAATGTCATCTCAGCTAATTTCCTTGTTAAAGTGTTTAACTCTTTTGTATGTAAAATACACTTATTTCAATAAGCTGCTCATTAATACATTCTCAAACTCTCCTGAGGGAGAACTTCTTACCAATTTACAGGTGGTGCGTTGAGGAATGAAGTCCTGGGGCTTGTCTAGTGTGATACAGCAAGTTAGTGATGGGTTGGAGAAAAGCAGTCTTTCCAGCTTCTAGTCTAGCATTTGGACAGGAGATGTTCTACAAAGTGTATAGATTTTCTTGTTTACATTCCTGTATGGTTGTGGCAGCTTGGGATTCCAATTGCATGGGGTCATAAGATTCACTTTGAAAGTGTAATGGATTGTATTCTATCCAAACAAAGAATGCTTCTGGGGATGAAATGGGTATTTTGATACCAGACCTTAAAATTAGGTTTAATTTATAGAAATACACAACTCTACTTAGGGACACTAGGCAATCACTACTGCCTTAGTAATTCAGTTTAAAATATCAAATATGAAGTGGACAAATATATGTAAAAAATACTAAATGAAGCCTAGGGTTCTCTGAATCTAAATTTGTGTTTAAAAAAATCACTCAGTTTCCTCAAAGGAAAAATGAAATTCTTCTTGATTGAAATGTTTGTTACAAGAAATGGGACTTAGGGTTTGTTCTATGCATTTTATAATTTAGCATATCTACAATTTTAATATTTTTACATTTCCTGACCCAGCTCAGAAGACAACTGTATGATCTAATATTTTTTTTGCTACAGTGTAAGCTTTAAACTGCTGTTTTGCTTTTTGGAGGTTTCAGGCTGAGTACTAATTTTTCCTCTTTTGTAAAACTATGTTTTGGTTCTGTTCACTGATGAACATTTCCTTGAACGAGCACTACTGTATAAAAGTGTATTTTACTGTTCTGCTGTCACCTAATGCTGAGGTCTCCAGCAACCATTAGGCGTCTGCTGAAAGCTCAGTGCGAGTGATAACATCTTCTGGTGTTCATTGCTTGATGCTTACCTGTAGTGAATTTCATCAGTTACGTTCTGTTCAGTCACTGAGTCTGATGTGGTTTTTCTGTATTTCTTTGCAGTTGGTTTTGCTTCTACATCTTTGACTATAACCAGTAAGCTTTTTCATCTTGCTTCTAGCTCCTTTTTCCAGGCTGACTGTACTACTGATCCTTGTGGAAGCTTACTGGTGGCTTTCCTGCATTCTGAAACTGTATTTACATTTGCTCTTACCTGTTGTTTTCTGTCTTGGAAGCATTTTTTTATCCATGTGACTTTTCTTCTTATCCCATGGCTACTATAGATTCCTTGGGTGAAGAATCTTTCAAAGACACTGAATGAAACAGATTGTCTTCATTTATGTTTCCCTTAAGGAAACTGAATACTTCTGACAACTTCCTTTTACAAAAGCTATGCTGAGACTTCCCCAGTTCCCCAAAACTCAAGGAAAACCACTGTGAATAGATGCTGCTTTTGTAAGAAGTCAAAGATAACACCAATGTGTTTACTGTTTCTATCTATTGCTATTGTTGCTGTCAGCTGTTCATGTGAAGATGCTACTTGTGAGCCTTTAGTTTCCTGATCTCTGAAGCTCTCTTAGAAAGTTGTCCTTATTTTTGTCATGTTTCAGTTCTTGGGTAGCAATACAATTTCAGGTAAACTCATAGTTAGCATCTCAGGTCTTTCAGTATTGGCATTTTCAGGTTGAGGACTAATTTTTCTACTTTTGGGAAAATGTACTCTGGTTTTGTTGACTGATTAACATTTCTTTGAACTAGCCCTACTGTATAAAAGTGTATTTCACTATCCTAGTGTCGTGTAATCCTAAAACTAAATTAGGTAGATCACCTGTCCTGCTTGCTGAGTGTGAGCACACATTCAGATACCTAATGTAAGTTTGAACTTGACTGACAAAGATTTCTCAAGGAGGATTTTTCTCCACTGATGGTGTATGTGAAGACGCTTTGCATGAAGACTCCGTGGCTGCAGACTCTGCACATTTAGGTGTCTTGATCTGTGTCTGGGAATACTCAGATATCATGCCTGGGTGTCTCAGGAGGTGTGTGCTAAGTCCTCACACCACTTACTGGGCAATTGTGTATACAGTAAGTATGCATCTCTTGTACATATCCCCATGAATGTTGTCCTAACAAATAAGTGGCAAAACATGCCCGTGAATGTGGCCCCAACAATAATAAAATAATCCTGGAAATAGCTTTCATCAGCATTGTTCCGCTTTATGGTAGCGTGTTATTGGGTTAGATACATCGCATCCCTAAATGTTGCTCGAGGAGCCTTGGCAACCCATGAATGGCCCTAGAGGGGAACCTCCCCACAAATGTCTGGACTCTGCTGAAAAGTGGCCTTTTTTCCTCACCCTAACTTTTATGTCCACTTGGATTATCACATTTGGGAAAATGGGCGTAGGAAATTAGTGTAGCAAAGCTCTGTGTGACATCTTATGAAAAGGGAACCTTATTTCTATTTTACAAAATCTCTAAGCTGTGCACACTTCCACAATTAGTTGTGTACTTTGGAGTGCTCAGGCCATTGTCACTTCTGTGTCCTACTGAATAAAGGACACAGGCTGCTGAAGTCCTCATTAAGTATTCAGTGCTTTTGCGTGGCAATAAGGAACTGATTTTTGGACTTTCCTTTGTGCTCCCCAAGGGATGGACTTGGAGATCTTATCTTGTTTCATGTTACTTCTCAAGTCTTTGCTAAGATTCCTGAAATTTACAATTCTGTTCTTTCCTTAACTCTTCTTTGGTGGCTTTGGTCTTATCTCTAGATCAGTTTGTTATTCCTGTTCATTTGAATGAACTAACACCCATAGCATTGTGTAGCAATGAATACTTTCCTTTTAATCTTTGTTCTGCTGTCTCTTTTGTTTCTCATGTATGCTTACTAGTTGTAAGATTTCTGTTACAAATCTGGATGTGAGTTCCATATCTTTTGGCCACTTATGAAGATTCAATCTCCTGTTATACTCAAGGGAACCTTTTACTGTTATGAAGGCTTGGAATACTGAACTTAATTCCCTGAAGTTGTACTGGATGGCTGAAACATGGCTATCAGATCCATCACCCTGGCAGTCCATGGGAATTGTTTTTCTGTGGTGTAAAATCTTTTGACTCTTTGATAGGGAGGGAGAGTATTTACTTTGTTTCCTTACATGTGAGAGGACAATTTGTCTCATTTTAAAATAAGAGTTACTGTTGGCCTTGGGAAGGGGCCCAACCAGTGTTTCCACAAATGTAAGCTCTCAAAAGCTCCTGGTTCTTTATCCTTTGACCATCAAACATGCTTCCTTAGTTTGTTGTGTTCTGCTGGTCTTTGCATGTTTTGGTGTTTGGTTTTTTGGTTTTTTTGCTTATCAGTTCTCTTCTGGAGTCTCTTATTCTGTTTTTGTCACCGTGTAGTATACCTTCATCATGAACAGCTGAGTCCTGAACTGTCGCCCAGGGTTATTCTGTACAGCAGGTCTCAAAGAACTCAAGTTACTGCTAAGCTAAGTAGCAATTCTTTTTAGGTCTGCTTCTCAAAATATAAGAAGAAAAAATATGAATATATGTTAAGATTACCTGAACCTGGAGATAAGTTTCCTTATTTTTTTTCACAGTATATCCTGATAATACATCCATATGTCTGTGCTATGTAAATAGACATTCTACAAGTATGTTAGAATTTAATTCTCTAACTAGATCTTTCTTCAGTGGAACAGAAAATCTTGTGTGATGCATCCCATACACTACTGCATTTCTGCTGGCATACAGTGGGAATGTCCACCAGTTACAATTGGTATTGATCATATTGCTGCTGCATTCTTGGCTTTATACGGAGATGTTGGGAAATATCATGATTTTTGTGTAAGAAAAGCCATCTGATTCATAAGGTCATTGCATTCTGACTGCTTAATATCCTGCAACAGAGAGATGATGCTGGCTCTTTTTTTCCACCTTGTAGATAATCTGTGGAGTGCTTATTCAGAAAAAGGATCAATAGTTGAGAAAAGAAATCAGCCATCCGTTGCTGGATCAGAAGAGACAAAAATGGGTGGACTCCCTTATGTTTTTACAGACATCATGACCTACTTCACAATGCTTGTAGGGATTTATTTCCCATCTGTGACAGGTGCATAGAGCTATTTTCGCAAGTGAGGATGTGAAAAAAAAAAAACATTTTCTGTGTGTGCGTGAATGTTTATTGATGATGCGTGATATTGCTAGTCTGTGTGTCCAAGTGACTGGTTATTTTAGAGGGTTATAGGACTTAAATAAGGAATCAGTTTAAATGGTATTTTCTATGTCTGGAGAGAAACAAAATCTCCATGTGTTACTAAATGTTTATTCAAAATAAGATGCATACATTTAAAATATTTTAATCTTCAAATGCATGAGAGAACAGCTGAGTATTAAGATGATTGATTAGCATATTCAAGATGTGAAGTGCCTATGATTTCTTTAAGTCAAATATTTTTCATAGAATCGTAGAATGGTTTGGGTTGGAAAGGACCTTAAAGATCATCCAGTTCCACACCCCTGCCATGGGCAGGGACACCTCCCACTAGCCCAGGTTGCCCAAAGCCTCATCCAGCCTGGCCTTGAACCCCTCCAGGGATGGGGCATCCACAGCTTCTCTGGGAACCCTGGGCCACTGCCTCACCACCCTCACAGTGAAAAACTTCTTCCTAATGTCTAGTCTAAATCTACCCTCTTTCAGCTTATACCCATTACCCCTTGTCCTCTCACTCCACTCCCTGATACAGAGTGCCTCCCCATCTCTCCTGTAGCCCCCTTCAGATACTGGAAGGCTGCTATTAAGTCTCCTTGGAGCCTTCTCTTCTCCAGGCTGAACAACCCCAACTCTCTCAGCCTGTCCTCATAGGGGAGGTGCTCCAGCCCTCTGACCATCTTTGTGGCTCTCCTCTGGACTCGCTCCAACAGGTCCATGTCCTTCCTGTGCTGAGGACCCCAGAGCTGGATGCAGTGCTCCAGGTGGGATCTCACAAGAGTGGAGTAGAGGGGGAGAACCACCTCTCTCACCATTCTGGCCACACTTCTTTTGATGCAGCCCAGGACACGGTTGGCTTTCTGGGCTGCAAGCATGCATTGCTGCAACTGTATCTAGTGGAGAATTTTTTGACAACCTTCAATGTTAGATCAGTTGTACATCCCTTTCCTCAGGTCACACTTGACTGAAATAACCAGAGAAGTCCCAGCTCAAGAAATTGTAATAGTAAGTAATGAAACAAAACTCTGTTAGGATGTTGCAGCAGTGGTTGCTTGTAGAATACCAGGCAGAGGTGTCCCTTTGTATTCTTGTCCCCCCACTGCTCTCATGTCTCTAGTTCAGGCTCTTTTATCAACATCTCGCCATGTCTGAGACAGTGGTTAGGTTTTCACTGCACTGAAATGGCTTGACATCAGTTTCTATGTTTTTGTCTCCAGCAGTGGTCAGGGCAATTCTAGGAAAGATAGTGGAGTTAGGCAGTTGCGTGATTTTTTTTTTTTTTTTTGCTCCCGTCACAGTGTGTGCTAGAAAATATTTGTCTTCACTTGTTAGATTCAAACAAGGATGTGTACATGTGATTTCCTAACCATTCTTTTCATACCTCCTGTCTTCTCCTTTCTTTTTTCTTTCTGTATTTTTATTTTTTAGTTCATTGATTTGCTTGCGTATCTTGTTACGCATGCTCTATTTAGGGGAAAGTTAGTGCATTGGTCACACTGGCTAAAGTTGATGAATCTCTGTTACCTTAAACATCCATCCACAATATTTTGCTGCCCCTGTGTGTGTCCCCATTTTAGAAATGATTCTGAATTTATAATTGAATTTTTTTTCTTTATTTCATCGTTCTCTTTCCTGAGCTTTCTGGAATTTGTTCAGTCAACAATGGGTGATAACACAAATTTCTGAATAAAATGAAGGTACAAATTGAGAATTTGTGCAGGATTTTCATACACTTCTGTAGCCTGCTCCATTGCTAATGATGTATTAAATCAGGCTTAAAGTTACATGTTCCTATTCTATTAGTTATTTAAATGGAATTCATATGAATTGTTTTTATGACATGTAAATTTGATCTCTTTAAGGTATTATGGCAGGTTCAAACAGATCAGGAGATCTTAAGGATGCTCAAAAATCTATTCCTACTGGAACAATTTTGGCTATTTCAACTACGTCTGTCATTTGTATCCTTTATGCTGTGACTTTAATTTTCTAGTGCACATTCTGTAGTTATAATAAAATAGTTTTTCATTGAAAAGTCATTAGAGTTGCCCAAGTATAAAATGAATGAAATCTAAAGTGAAGAGAGATATTTTGTATTTGTCTATAATTTTAAGTAACATTTATAAATATTATTTAAAATATATCCATTTTTATTTATATGTCTATTCTACATTCTACTAGTGCTTCAAATTCCAAGATATAGTTTGTGTTTTGAGTTAAGTGATGTAGAGGATTTTAGCATCATGCTTCAGTTGGCAGATTGCTTTGTTATAGTCGGTATAGCCAGTGAAAATCTTAAAGCAAACTACCAGCAACAGCCGTTGTTACTTCTTCAATACCTAGAAGACACAAATGCTTATTTGTGTGAGAAAGTATCTCTTCTGTTGCATGATGTTTGAACTGGCTACTGCAATATTTCACAAATCACCTATGCATCAAATGCAGTTGTAGAGAACATAAACTGAAAAAATGTATCAGGGAAGAATTAAAACAAACAAACAAAAAACAACTGCAGAATAGCCAGAATAAACAAAATAACAAAAAAAACCCCACCCTCACTTAATTATCATGGACACTTTCATGTCATCCTGAAGTGAAAAATGTTTTTTTCTCTCTCTATATAAATTGTTTATAGTGTACTCTTCCTTCAGTCTCAGTAATAGATCTCTCTTGTATAGTGTTGTTTGGTGCCTGTATAGAACGTGTGATACTAAGAGATAAGTAAGTCATATTCGTCTTCTAATTTTACGGGGAGTATGTATGATCATGGGTTATGCTTATAGGACTCTTCAGTGGCTCTTCTAGGAAATACCGGATGTACTTTTCTTTTGCTTAGGTTAAAAACTGGAAGGAAAGTCTACCTGTTAAACTGAGATGGCTACAAAAACTGGTCAGATTATCAGGCTGTGTGCCTTCAAGAAGTAGAAGCAGAATCTAAGAGAAATGTTTGATGTGGAACTGCCTCTAATAAAATGTTCTTGAGAAAGAAAATCATAGTTGGTATTTGTGGAGCTGATGGGTGGGGGTAAGGTTAGTGGTATTACTTTGGGAGAAGTAATATGCTCTTGAGGAACAAAGACAAGAAAAGATTTTTGACAGTTACATGACAAGGAGATGCCTGTAATTTCCACTGGATATATGTTTATTTTTTGTTTCAAAATCTCATTTGTAGATGAGGAGTAGTGTCAGTTTTCACCCTTGTTGTTGCCTGAGGATAGTTGTGGCACAATGAGGCATGAAGGCAATAAATGTTATGGAGATTGTGATAAATTTCTTCCTTAGGAGAAGTTGAGTTGATGAAGATGAATTTGCCAGCAGGTTTCACATATGTTTCCTTGCCGGTGTCTGGTTCCCTGTTCTTCTAAGGCCCAAGTTTGCTTTTGATGATGAAAAAGTGGCATTGGGGTATTGTTTGGAAGGTGTTGGAGATGATGCTGAGACAGCTTATTTCAAAACACAATCTTTTAGTCTAAAAGGAAAACCATAAATTAAAAGCTGGATTCTAATCCAAGCTACTACAAGAAGCAGCAGGGGCTCATTTTCGCTTCAAAATAGTATTGCTGCATCAGTGAAAATCTCTGATTTCTTTTTCTTCCAAGTAAATATACAGACCAAATCAAGCTGATGCTTAAGAAACAGTAAATGAAATCTGAATTAGATATTGCCCCTGCATTAATTTATATAAACTCACATTTTTGAAAGGAACATATTTGAAATTTACTGGGAGTGGGAATTTTGCAAGCTGTGAGTGCAGGTGATCTGTTACTAGAGCAGGATGCATTGTAGCAAAAGCATTGAATCCCTGTTCTGTCATTTACACTGCTGCCAGTTGTTTGTCTGAAATCCAGCGTAACAGTAAAATGTATGGATTTTGATCTGGTTTTTAAAGACTGTCTTGGGGTTGTGGGGTTTTTTTTGTTATGGATCGTTACATCTGTCATGGGAAAAAGTAGGTTGTACATATTTGAGTGTTTGTCTTTCATCTTTTCCAGTTGTTCCTACCATGTGTTTAATTAAAACATAGGCATTAGAATTTGAATTAAGAATGAATCTGCAACTGTTTAACTGTCATCATAGAAGCATGTGTTTTCCCCCTGTATTTTTAAATGGTGTAGTTCCCCATTTTCTGCCTGCTGAAAATAGTATGTAGCCATGCATCCAAGCTTGGGCATATGCGAGAATTTAACTTGTCCAGTTAACTGCAGTCTAGTTCCTAGCAGTTACAAGGATCTAAAGGATGCATATACAAATACTTTTGCTGTTGCTGATAATTCTGTAAAGTTTGCCAAGATACCTGATAATTCCTGCATGTCTGCTTAGAGGCAGCACTTATAATGAATCAATTATAATATGTTTTCTTTAGAACAGCAGAATAAAAATAAATTGTCTGGGAAACCCTATAGTACGTACAGTGACCTGGTGTTTATTGTTGGAAAGTGATGTTGTCAAAAAAGTTTGAAATGTGCACGTTAAGCTATAGTAAAAGTTATTTTAATGCTTATTGATTTTTTTTTTTCCCCACTTCCCTCCTACCCCCTCCCACCTTCCCTAAGGTTTGGAGAAGCGGTTAATGGAAATCTAGTGGTTGGTACGCTGGCCTGGCCTTCTCCATGGGTTATAGTGATTGGATCATTCTTCTCAACATGTGGTGCTGGTCTCCAGAGTCTAACTGGAGCACCCCGCCTGCTGCAGGCCATTGCAAGAGATGGCATTGTACCTTTTATTCGAGTGAGATTTTTTTTTTTCTTTACAGTACTTCAAGTATGGCTTATATTTTGACAAACAAAAAGAATGAGGCATTTCTGCTATTCTGTAGAACTGTGAGAAAAAGATTTGGAGCTCAGTTCTAATTGTGTACGGTAATAGAAGAAGCTGCTCTAAGATGAAGTTTGAACTTGTATATTTCTGTGCAATGCCATTTAATTATGTTTGTTCTTACACATAAAAGCTAAATGAAGTTAGCAAAGATATAACAACAGAATTATATCCCATGACTCTGAGCATTAAGATTGTTCTGACATCCCTGTGCATGTTTTAAAAATAAAAAAATCTGATTTTTCTCAAAGGAAGTGAGGAAGGGAGCTGGCGAACAGAAGTAGATAACTCTTGCTGGAAGATATTTAACACAATTGCTGGGCTGCAGCTGTGAAAACCATACAACTAGACTTGGCTCATAGATAAATAAAATTCCAGAAGATGATAACGTCTAGAGACCAAAGCTGTGATTTCTGTGGTGAAGTTTGGAAGCTTACCTCAAATTGCCAATAACAGACAACAGTTGTGCAGCACAATGATAACCTACCAAGAACGGGTTGAAGTATAAAAAATGGTACTATGTCAGAATAGCTGTGAATGTTTTAGGAAGAGAGTTAGGGGACAGTTGTCAAAATTAGCACACAAAAGAAATTGCAGATAGCACAGACACTGAAGGTAGCTAGGGCTGAATTGAGGAGAATAGGCTGTTGTGTACAGAGAGTCCTGAGGATGATTTGGAACACGTTTGTTTTTATGTATCTCTTTGGGAGGTTTATATCATTATTTTGATACCTAAGTTATGTGACAAAACTTATGTTTTAGTATTGCCTACTTTACCCACACTTGCCTCTGGAGTGTTCTAGGTCATTTTCTCACATCTGAGGTCAGTATAGTATGTTACGTTAAAAATGGGCTATTACTCTTGGTGAATAACTTCAGACTCAATTCAGAGATACCTAGAATCTATCTGCAGTGAGGTCTGGGTATAGAATAGCAGCTTGGTTTGGTTCTGAGTTTGGGGAAAGCCTACAGTGAGTCAACATCTGGATGCCTGACTTGAGAAAATTACTTAGCTAGGATGTGCCAAGGACTACTGTGAATGATGGAGAATTTGAGTGGGGTTGGGGAGAAAACAGCTGAGGAGAAGGGAGACATACAGACTATGTGGGAATGGAAAAATAAGAGAGGTAAAGACTTGTGTGAAGAGAGGGGGAAGGAGTGCACAAGGAATGGGTTAGAGGAGATGGTTGGAAAAGCTGAGAAGCAAAGCCAAATGGAAGAAGTAATGCTGCGGGCTTGGGGGGGTGGGGGGTGGGTTGTCTTTTTAAGTGTTGTGGGGTGTGTTTGTTTTTTTTTTAAGAGGCAAATCATACTGCTGTTGCCAACTATTTTCCTTAGTCTTTAATCACTTGGTTCCATTCCACTGCTGTTGCTTCCTGGTCTATCTGCTGGTGCCTAGTCTAAGTGGGGCTAGCTACATCCTTGATACTCTTAGGTCCTTCTCTTCTCTTGGTCTGGAAGGGGAGAATGGTCACTGGAAATGTACACTGCTATTGCTGCTGGGAGCAGGAGCCAGAAGGGTTAATGAACAAAGAAGTCAACAAGTTAACACAGCAACTGCTGCTTCTGCAGCCCCTCTGCCTGAACGTTCTGCCAGCAGCACTTGCAGACACTGACACTGCTGTGTCTCTGCTTGCACTGCCTTGAGCTGCTTTGCACCTGCAGCATTGGCGGCTTGTTCCCTGGGCAGGTTCTAGCCCTGTTCCCTTGGTTTAGGAGCATCTTTCTAGCAAGGGTGGAGAAAGATAATGAGGATGTGGAAGAATATCAAACATGCTGCAGCTTTATTTCACAGTTCAGAGCAGTGGTGTGTGTTCCCTGACTTGCAAGACTTGTATCTGTAACTGGAAATAAATACACTAAGTGTGCTGGGGTGGGGGGACAGAATCATGACAGAGTTGGACTTGTGAGTGGGAAGGGGTTGTAATGCAATTATTTGTAAGTGCTGGGTTGTATTGAGAGAGGCAAATGAAAAATTTCACTTTTGTCTGAAGTAAAAACTTGGTACCTGGCTAGAGGGTGACAGTATAGTTCTGTCTTATCAGTTAGGTTTGAAAGGAGTGAAGACTGGGAAGGAAAAAATTTGTTTGGGAAGTGGGGGGAAAGGAATCCAGGAGAAGCAGGATGTTTGAAGAGGGATTTGAGACATGAAAAGTACTGGCAGTTTTGGAGTGATACAGCTGCTGCATGATCAAGGAAATGAATGCAAGGAGATTCATATAGGACAAGATTATAACCCATTTAAGAGAAAACCAAAAGACTTGTAACATGAGCAGAAAAAATGGTATTTTAATAGAAGGAGGATTGATCAATGATAGGAAGCTAAGGGAAGAAGACAGTATGGAGAATGAGTGAGGTAAAGAACAGACATTTGGAAAGGAAGCCATTCTGGAAAATGGGAGTGAGGGTTTAGTCTTCATAATTGTATGGAGGAATATAGAGGAGAATAAATATGGCTGGAACCTCAGGTGAAGCATTTCGCCAGCTATCACCAGTAGAGCTGGATAGAATTCTCCCCAAAGGAAATTGCCACATGCAAAATTATTTTTGGTAGGGCTCTCTGCAGGATCATAGACTTAGGTAAGTCCTCTTTAAAGATCAACATTCATGCTCTGAAGTACTGAGTGGATGCCTATTTTGTGTGTTACAAGTCATTCTACTGCCCTCAACTACAGTAGCTTTTTATAGACTAAGCATACATCTAATATGTATGTGGAATTTAAGTTACTTAAGATTATTTCAACGGCAACTTCAATAGTACTTTATGTAGTCATTGGTTATTTTAGTAAACATTTTTCATGTTGGAAATGTGTGTTTTTGCAATTTTGTGGCCTTTTTGTAGTATAGATTGCTTCATTTTTCTCTGTAACTAATGACTATTTTTGGTTCCAGTTTGTTAGTTCATGATGTGCAACATATTTAGTAACTGTATAATGAAGAGCTTTCCCTAATCTTACTGTTTACTTGCATTGGACTAGGTATTTGGTCATGGAAAAGCAAATGGAGAACCCACTTGGGCTCTGCTCCTCACAGCTGGTATTTGTGAAATAGGAATTTTGATAGCTTCATTGGACAGTGTAGCACCAATTCTTTCAATGTAAGTACGAATGTGGTGTTTGCTGTTCTTAAGTTAAATAGTATTTTATTTTTAACTTAACTAGGTAATGATTTTCCTTTTTGAAATAATACATGCTAGACTCTGTCTTCTAACAAGTTATATTCCTATTTGATCCTGGAGATAATATGAAATGACTAAATATTTTATCTGGAACTAATTTCTAGGCACAAAATCTTTTTCCACAACAGAGTTCTTTAATGCTAGTTAAAATATGTTCAACTTTTAAAAACCTGGAATTTAAAATAAAAATTCCAGCTATTTCAGATCAGATGCATCTAATAGAGACAGAGAAAACAATTTAATGTTTTAGGGTATGAACTGAATTTTATCTTACTGACTCTGTCTTGGAAGCTTATCCTGTGTGTTATGGGTTGACCCCACTAGGCATCTAAGCCCCACACATCTGCTTGCTCACTCCTCTGCCAGTGCCATGGGGGAGAGAATCAGAAGTGTAAAAGTGAGAAAACTTGTGGGTTGAGATAAAGACAGTTTAATAGGTAAGGCAAAAGCTGTGTGCACAAGTAAAGCAAAATAAGGAATTAATTCACTATCAATAGGAAGATGTTTAGCCATTTCCAGGGAAGCAGTGCTTCATGATATGTAACTGTTATTTGGGAAAACAAACACCATTTGTCCAAACGTCCCCCCTTCTTCCTCCTTTCCCTGAGCTCTTACTGCTGAACGTGATGCCATACAGTATTTAATATCCCTTTGGTCAGTTGTTGTCAGCTCTGCCAGCTGTGTCCCCTCCCAACTTCTTGTGGTCCCCTCCCCAAGACTGTTTGCTGGCAGGGCAGCAAGAAAAAATGGAGGTGGCCTTCATGCTGTGTAAGCACTGCTCAGCAACAGCTAAAACATCCCTGTGCTATCAACACTGGTTTAGTTACAAATCTAGAACATAGCACCAGATGAACTACTATGAAGAAAATTAACTCTAGCCCAGCCCAAACCAGTAGGCCATGGTTGTCAGTTGTTTGCTACACTTTCTGAAATATTTGTTTCAGGCTCTCTATTATGCTAATACCTTTTTGAGGACAAATATTCTATAGGTATTAATTTAATCTATGTCTTGTGTTCTCTTGGCCACTGTGAACACAGTGTATGAGTTCCTACCGTTTTTTGGATTGTGTTCAGCCTATTAATGCAAATCTGTATAGTTAATTTCCTATTGGAAAATGCTCTTTTTTTTTTCTTAACAGGTTTTTCCTAATGTGCTATATGTTTGTAAATCTGGCTTGTGCAGTTCAGACGCTTTTACGGACTCCCAATTGGAGACCTCGTTTCAAGTATTACCATTGGTAGGGAATATTCCTTCATACAGAAGAGTTAAAACTAATTACACAGCCCTAAATTGTTGATTTTCTTGTAATAATAAAACAAAATCTCCTTTCTGACTTAAATGAGTTATAAGATTATTCATGCACTGAATATTCTAACAGTAATTCTGTTGAGAAATTTTAGTGCCTTGAAGACTAGAGCCTTTAGGAGATAAGCTGGCCTGACTCTAGGATGTAAGAGCTCTTTATTATTTTTTCCTTTTAAAGAACTGGGTGAAAATGAAACGAAATGTCATGGTTTTAGCTCTGAAAATTCATTTTGAATATGCTCAGTAGACACTTACTAGTTTGACATGTAAACCTCCAAATACACCAGTGCCTATCTGCTGGTCTATCACCTCCAATACCTAGTGGTATTTGCAACACCAAGAAGGAGAATGGGGGATTGCTGTCTTTTGGGGTTTTTTTGTTCCACCTCCCCTGAATAATGTGATGGTGGAAGAGGTACAGTAGGAGGTACAAAGTAGCTTAAATGCTAAGGCGGGTGGTTAAGATGGATGGACTATGGTGAGGAAATGGCAGCAGCAGAGGTTGTAACCATTTGGCAACATTTCTTTTTTTATATATGCTTCCCAAGGAGATCAGTGAGCCAACTGACTCAGTGTGACTCCATAATCACTTTTAGCCAAAGCAGGTGTCAGAATGCTTGGCCAGAATTGAGATGGGCCTTGATTTTTTTTTTTTTTGAGTGAGTCCTAGGTTGGCTAAGTCAAGCCCAAAAGAGCAGCTGTTCTTTTAGACAGTGTTTTCTGTATTCCCTTTTACTGTCTTGTGTTCTTGCTTAAGAGACAGGCCACAATGGAAGTGGAAAATATAATCAATGAGTCAAATTTAATTTAGAATAATCAACTACTTCTGCTGGAAGTAACATAATATTGTTTAGTATTGTTTGGGAAACTTTTTTTAGCTTAAATGCAAATCAACAGTAAGTGATAGTGAAGTGTTTAAAAACTGACCTTACTTGGAGGTACAGATAGAGTTTCAGAACTGACAAATGTAGTAAATATTGTTATATCTAGTTCAATTGTATTATTTATTTCACACAAAGGTTCAGAATGTACATTTGTTTTATAAACTACAATTGGAACAATGTATTTTTGTTTGTTAGCTATGAAATGGCCTTTGAAGAAAGGCCTTTCTAGATGTTAACCTCAATAAGAAATTGACTTTTTGAACATTTGCATGCCTATTTAAAAAAAAAAGAGAGAAAAAAATTGTTTCTTTTAGGACTCTCTCATTCCTGGGGATGAGCTTATGTCTTGCCTTGATGTTCATTTGCTCTTGGTACTATGCTCTGGTTGCCATGCTTATCGCAGGATGTATATACAAGTACATAGAATATCGAGGGTAAGACCATACATCTTATTTATTCTATATTTAATATATTTAACATTCAGCAAAAAGCACTTGTGTGTGAAATAGATATAACTGAAGTAATAGAATGAAGAGTATTCCTTGAAACGAGGTATAACCCCATCTTTTTTAAGCATTGTCAATTTTCAGGTTCTAATTTCTCTGCAAGCTCTGTTCCAAATTTCTCGATAGTCAGGACTAATCCAAATAAGAACCAATATGGCTGGGAAACTCATTTGAGCAGAGATTATGGTGTAAAGTTTTGGTGCTTGAGGAACATCACCCTTTAATATCAAGCAGTAGCTATTACTGAACTGCTACCGTATTATTAACTTGTGCTGAAGCCCAAAGGCTCTACTCTTTTGTATGGACTTTAACACTTTTTTAGAATGAATCATACTGAATTTTCAGTGGGTGCTCTGGATTGTTATGTTTTCTGACGGCTTAGATAATCTTTGAATTACAAAATACTTTGCATTTTGTACAGTTGACAAATGTACAGAGCCACACAGTAAGAAATGCTGTGCAAACAGGAGACCTAATGTACCGAGTTCATAAAAAACGAAAACCACCCCCCTGCTCCCCCAAAACCCAGAAAAAGCAACAAAAAAAACCCCTACTAATCAACATACCTTTTGGATAACTCAGTAAAAGAAAGTTACATGATTGTGCTGTCAGGGTACATTTTAATTGCCACGCTGTTCTTCAAAGCTTTTGAATTCTGTTTGGTATATTTCATCTAAATTTTGAAAGAAGGCTTGGAGGAAAGAAAGTTCAGTGAGAATTCATGAATGGAAATAAGAGGGAAGGGAGGAGGGAAAAGGGAGATGGACTCCTTGCTCTAGTAGAATCCCCATAAAGGAAAATAATGTGTTAGTCTAACAGTTCTTTCTTATTTAGTTGGCTGCATGGCATACAGCATAGCTTTGTACAGGGAAAAAGCGGAGTGGAAAATGTAGGGAGATTGAAAGTAGTCAGGAAGGCAGATAAAGCTTTAGGCTCATCTGGAAGAGAAGCTGGAAAGGAAAGGAAGTGGAGAAAGCTGTAGTGGTGGGTTTGGGGGTAAGATATAACACACTAATCCATACAAAGTCAAGTTTCAGTTATTCATTCTGCTGTTTTAAAACCTTTCCTTTTAAGTAACCCTCACTTATTCATTCTAGTGCTTAAAAGCAAATTAAGTAGCTTCATGATTATAAAAAGGCTTTTGAAGTATGATAAAATAGGCCATAATAAATATTAATAAATACTTTACAACTAGTTTTCTTGAAGGGACCCGAGACTGCTTCGTCTTGGTTAGTCTGCAAGATCTGTGTCTTGGTCTCCCCTGCAAGATGAGGGTTTTTTTCATGCATTCATGCAAAAAAAAGTGTTCATTTTTTTTATGCCCATTATCCCTCGTGTGATAAAGTGTACTTAATGTGTGTAACTAAGTGGGACCTGCTAACTGATTCTCTTCCACACCTTAAAGAGCGGAAAAAGAATGGGGTGATGGAATCCGAGGACTGTCTCTGAATGCAGCTCGCTATGCCTTGCTTCGTGTTGAAGATGGTCCTCCTCACACCAAGAACTGGAGGTAAGTTCTACACCTTAGTTGGTCACATATTTCTTGAAATATAGAAATCAATTGGGAATACTGCTGGTAAAGCTAATGGACGAAATCAAATTTGCCATTAAAATAATGTTTTAATTTGGGCATGGCACTGATGTCATTGCAATAGTATTATTTTACCGCAATAGAATGTGACTTAAGATCAGCATGTAATCAACTTTGCTAGGAATCTGGGCAACCTAACTTGAACTTAAATTCATGTGGTGTTGACATAAAATTCTTCTTCACTTTGGAAAATTAAGGCTTATAGATTTTCTCAGATTCAGAGGAACAGTTATCATTGACTCTCGCTGTCTCTATAGAAGAAACACTGCAATTTCTTTTTTTTTTTGCTTCTACATATATCCATTCTTAAATACATTGTATAAGTATACAGAGGATCCATTTGTTTAAATTCTTTTTTTGTGGCAATCTTTTTATGTAGCTTCATTTAATAGTAACACTTTCTAAATTGCTTACATGTCATTAAAACAGAATCTCCCATTTGCTGTATATTGGTAGGTAATGGGGTTAGGTGTCCACTACTATTTGTTACTTGTTAAACTATCAATTTAAAAAAAAAAAAAAAACTATGTAGCAATTAAAAACAAAAGGACACTTGTACATTGTCACGTCTGAGTATTATCAAATTGGAACTCTGATCAGTGGAACACACAAAAAATAACTTGTCGCTAAATGTGATACTTCAATTACAGTCACTGCTCTGTGATCATATCCCTGCGTACATGTGCACACGATGTTCTGTTGCTCTTCAGTGTAGTGGTGTTATTTTACCATTTGTTGTGGGAGTAATGGACGTAAGCAGTTCCTATGGAGTGCATGAGCTGCTGCCTTTATCTGTATCTGAGCTTGACATCTCAGAGGCACCAATGTAGTGTAATGTTGACTAAGAGTGTTCCTGTGAAACGTCTGACATCTCTTCAGCTCCAGATGAGTTATCCTTCTATTGTGTCAACGTAACAGGAAGGTCCAGTTATAGCAATTGCATCTTAAACTGTGCTGGTTTTGAGGCAGGAAGTACGCTCCAACTCTCTCTCTGAGCCCAGAGAGTCGTGGTGAATGGA